ATACAATTCACCATGGAAACAGAAGCCAACAACCAACTTCCCTTCCTGGACATCCTAATTTACAAAAGACCCAATGGCTCCCTAGGACACACCATCCACCAGAAGAAAACACACACCAACCGCTACTTAAACGCACAATCCCATCACCACCCCGCACAGATCAACTCCGTAGCAAAGACCCTCATCTCCAGAACCAAACGCCTAGCTGACAAAGACCACCTGAGAACAGAATTACACACCCTCACTAATGTATTAATTTCCAACGGATTCCAAAGAAACACAACTACCAACCTAATCCTAAGGGAGACATCCCCCAGAAACTGAGACACAGAATAGGATGATGGTATCACCCTCCTCCCCTACATCAAAGGCATCACAGATAAAATCAGCAAAATTCTCCATAAACCCAGCATCAGGACAGCCTTCAACACTGACCAAAAAATAGCCAACATCCTAAGAAACCCAAAGACAAAAGCCAGAAAACCAAGGAGTTTATGAAATACCATGCAACAATAGCCCAGCCACATACATTGGACAAACCAACAGGAGAATAAATGCATGCATTGCAGAACACAAGAATGCAGTGAGAAAAGAAGAAAATACTTCCTCCCTTTTCCAGCACCTTAAAGCCACAGGACATGAAATTAATTTTGAGGGAACCAAATTAATCTCCAGTACTGAACTCTTCAACAAGAGAATAATCAGGGAAGCCATCGAAATAGAAAAGCCACCCCCATAACCTGAATAATCGGGATGATACCTCCCACCTACCAGACATCTGGAAACTAGCCCTTATCAACAAACGAGTCCCAGCCATGAAAACCAACACCAGACCCAAAGCAACACATGACATCACCACCAATCTCCCTCACCGGACTCAAACCCAAACCCATCCCATAGACGAAAGGCAACCACCATCCAGAAACCAGACCATGGCTGCATCACCAGCTGCCACACACCCCGACCCCCAAATTAAGCAAACCGACACATGCCATAAACACATAGCCAGATCTCAAACTTGGGGCCAAACCAAAAATCCAGTATGTTACATCACAGCTATCCGCTCAGGATATCACATCACAGAATTCAGGATGTTGCAACACAGCCAAACTTCAGGATGTTGCAACACAGCCAAAGACCCAGGAGATTATAGCACAAGACCCAGGATGTCACAACAATAGAACTCAGAAGGTCATCACACATCCCATTACCCAGGTTGTTACAACACAGGAGCCTGATAGACACAGCCAGTACCTCAGCCACACAGGTTCTTACTAAAAAGGCAGCCAATCTGCAAACATCAACTCCATCAACCAATCAAGAAATGACAACACAGCCAACCTCCCCACCAGTATTTATAGAGAGATAGCATCTCCAATCACACCTTGCTCACACAAGCACAAAGCCGAAAGCACCAGCCTGAAGATGGCAAGTGGGACCTCGTCGAAATGTCACCAAGAGACTGTCAATCTTACCTGGGAAAGTACCATACCATATATGATATTTAGCTTTCTTCGGGTATTTTCCCATGTAAATACCATTCTTATAAATACCTGTGAAAACATAAGAAAACACACACAAACACACACACACACACACACACACACACAAAGATATATGTCATAAGAAGGAGGTTTAGAAATTGAATGACAGCAGTATTAGATATGTTTAAATGATATGAAACAATGAAAATATTACAAGTAATAATATTATGTTTATTTGTTCTAAAATGTATGATACCCAGGTATCACACTGTTCATGCATTGATATGTATAAGCAATATAAAATTTAAAAAACTTGACAAAAACAAAAAAAACTATAAATGTAGAATTTGGCATGACAGCAAAGCAGAATCTGTTTGATAAGCACATTATTGTTAATTCCACCAGCCTGTATTTGTCTTTATTTTTAAAACATTTTTAACATACTTTATCTGTGGTTCAGTGAGACAGCTTCAATATAGAACTTTTCAGCTTCTGACTTCAAATGCCAATAGTAATCTGCAATCAGCCCAGTGCAGTTGTTTATTATCTTACTAGCTATACAAATTCAATATAAAACCTGGTCTCTGCCACAAATCTATCTACAGTAGAAATAAAAACCAGGAATAGTAAAAACAAAAACAAACCTATCTTCTTCATTTAATGTGCTGTAGCCTAACACAAATTAAATAAACATAAGGTTTCCAAATATAGGAATGTTTATAGCATTTTTAGCCAAGGAAACATTGTTACAAGAGAATTGCCTTAATGGACCATAATACACTGCCACCCACTTGCCATAACATACTCCAACTCTCAATATGGTTAACCACATAAGCCATGTAATGTGTGTCAATTGAGTATCGTCTTCATTTTTAAACAGGGCTTCCTATATAAGATGTTGCTTGTTAGTGTAACAGGACAGAATCTGATGCCTTTCTTTCATCTGTATTCATCTTAGTTTATTTCCTTAGGCTTCTTCTGTTCTTATTGAATTACTACCATTTGCAGCCAATTCTGTTTATAATTCAGGCTTCATAAAAAAGATTAATTCAATAACAAGGAGAAAAGTGGGATTCTACTTCCTTCTGGCATACAACTATTGCTCCAATATCACTCCAAGTTGAATTGATAGGAAAGTATAATCTACAATGGAATTAGTAGATGTGTGTTCAGCATCCTATGTTTGACTTTGAGAGATGAGATGAGCTGGCAGACCAGATAGATAGATGATAGATAGATAGATAGATAGATAGATAGATAGATGATAGATAGATAGATTTAGATTCCAGCAAGGCATTTGACAAAGTAGATTACAACCTACTTCTTAGTAAACTAGAATAAAGTGGAATAGATAGCACCACCACTAGATGGACTCATAACTGGCAATATCAATAAATAAAGAGTTCCAATAAAATAGAACATATTTAGCTTAGAATTGAACAGCAGAATCCTTGGTGCTTTCTCAGCTTGATTGACTGTTTACTTGCAGATGTTTCATTTTCTAACTAGATAATCTCATCAGTGTGAGTGAGTGTGCAAACCCCATTCTTACACTGATGATATTACCTAGCTGACTAATGAAATGTCTGCAAGCAAACAAACAACCAAGCTCAGAGAGACCAAGGACTCCTCTTAAGTGATAGAGTTTTTCATCTCAGACAACTTAGTTTTAAATATATATGCCATCCTTCTATCTTTTTGGTTTTAAATTCTAAAGCCAAGAAAGATATACATTAAGAAAAATGGGTTACTTTCCCTGCAATATGATAGTGACATATATGGAAAACTGTCAAAAAGAAGTTCATCTATTTAAACTCTGGTCCAAAGGCTAAGGAATAAATTTGAAAAATCTACAATATTGTCAAAGAAACTATTTATTAAAGTCCTTGGCATCTTCTTTGAGTCCCTTGCTACTGCAGTCTGGTTGTCATAGAAACAAGTTTCATAGCATTGCGTGCTTTATGAAAGCAATGAAATCCATATTAAAATTATAAAATAAAGGATGCACATTTTTATATTCTTCAGGCTTGTTTGTTTCCCAAAGTTGCATATTTCTGCAACAGGTATCTAAAAGCAGCACAGATTAGACTCTGCCACATAGCATGCAGTTTGTTTGTTACTTAG